TATATTAACAAAAAGGAATTACACCAATATAAAAGTTACTTTTGAAATGTTTTGCTCACGTCTGGCCCACTGTGCACCGTTACATTTAGTCATCTACGCAACTGGTCAAACAAGCCATAATCACTCAACAATGGTTTAGGCTTTCGACAAGACTAGCTATTTAACGTAAGTCTGGCTATACGTCATATAAATACGTTATATAAATACGTCATATTTGTTGCGAAAACTTGGTTTACAGATTTATCAGACGCTATCAAACCGCAAAGACACTGACAATATTTTTTTTGGTATTAAAGTATAGAAAAAAATAAACATATATATATAATAGTTATTATACCAGAATTTATATTAAGTTTGCATCAATACTATATTAATGTATCAAAGTTATATTAATGTATTTTTATCAATCTGATACGTAATAATTTTATATATATTTTTTCTTTTTATCACAATAATAAATGTATATTTTATATGGTATACCTGGAGAAGAAAAATAAATAAATAAGTAAAAATAAATAAATATGGGCGACGGAATAACCATTAACACTACAACTCATCTATTTCGCTGCTGCAAGCTCGAATCATTCGAAGCTGAGCAAACTACGCAGCAATATCAGCGCACCTCTACGCTTTAAATTGGGAAAAAATGTTCAATGGTCTCAAAAGCAACGTTACCACTGATACCAGTAAAATGTACTCATCGTTGAATGATTATTATTTTTGTTTTACTTAATCAAGTTTATGATATTGATCCAGCAAGTTACTTTACCATTTTTCTGTCATTGCAAAACAGTTTTTACTGATTTACAAGTTTTTCATTGCAACTGGTGTAGTACCAAACTAATCAGAAAAAAAATTAAATATCAGACCTATTATCCGGAAAGGCAATAAATTAAATGTATCAAACTATCGGCCAGTCTCGCCTACGTTCTTTCTTTTAAGAAAATGGAAAGATAAAAAAATAACACTGTGTTGCTAATGGTCTAATCATTTCAAAGCGACATAAATTTGTTCATTTCAAGTGCTGTGTCTCAAACCTGCTTTGAATCTTTGGACAATTAAACAATGTAATTCATCAAGGTAACGCAGTAGACGTCATTTACACATACTTTATAAAGGTTAATGGATAAAGGACACACAAATTCCTTCTTTACAAGGTCAGAGCTTACGGCATTCAAGGCGCTCTCATTGATTGGATCTCATCGCGAAGTTGAGATCCAGTCAACAAGCGAGATTCAGTCAACAACCGTGCTATACCATATATTGGTTAAGTAGCCAATGGCTACTTGACCAATACATGGTATTACACAATACACACAAAGACTCAATAGTTAACGTCGACGGCTCGCGTAGTTATTGTTTTTAATTATTTATATGCACAAAGATAAGCGCCAAAAAAGACCGTCCTAACGGTCTTTTTTGGCGCTTAGCTTTTAAGTTTGCTTACATTCTTACAGAGTACTAAAAGTCTTTTTATCTTTTCTCAGTTTTTTTATCAGTTTTTTTCAGTAGTTTTTAACAAACGTAGTTTTTAACAAATTGCTAACAACAACGTGCACCTGATATTTTCTAATCTCTTTGTTCTATTTAAATAAATTTTGAGAATAATTTTATAGCCTTTTTTTCTTTCTTTTTTTTCTTTTTTATCTCCTTATTTTTTTGTATATATATATATTTTTTTTGTGCTTCTGACAAAACCCAAAACCTATTTATTAATTAATAAATATATTTACGGAAAAATTATAATCATTAAAAATATAATATAAAATAAAACAATATAACAATATAAAATCAAAAAACAAACAAATTTACTAAACTTATATTTGTAAAAAAAAATATATATATATTAATATAAATCTATATACATATAAATTAAATATATATTTATATAAATTATATGTACAAGGAAAAATCTTATTATTACACATAAATTTATAAATGTATTATTTACCGCACCAAAATACCAAACCGCAAAAATTCAAAACTATTCTCAAAACATTAGCATCAAAATATCTTAAAAAACAAAACATCTTAAAAAATACAAATTTTCCCCGCAAAAAGTTCTTGCGTATCAAGAGAAATAAAACAAATCGTAAACTCACTGCTATGGCCAACACAATAGTTAACTCCCAAGTAGCAGCCCTCCGTGATGAGCTCACAAAACAAACAGTCTCACAAACCGCAAGAGTCGTAACCGCTGAACGCCAGATAGACAACCAGAAGACTGAACTAGAAAATATGATCTCCATCATAAATACCCAGAGCTTAACAATCGCAAACTTGAAAACCATCATTACACAACACGGCCCCAACATACAAGCAGGTACCATACCAACAGCCACCATGTGGAACCAGGTTGTTAGCAAGAACTCTAAATCTCCCAAAACAGACCAACAACAAATCGACATGATAGGTACGATTGCTCAAGAATCAAAAGAACGCAAAACCGATCGAAGAAAATCGTCATCCATGGAATAAGCAAATCAACTTCATCCGACCAGAACGACCAAAAGCAACACGATAAAACTGATATTAACAAAGTTCTCGACCTTATCGATGCTGACGAAGACAAGTACCTTACTTTTTTCCACTATACGCCTCGCAACTCTGCGGGCAACCCAATAAAAACGGGACCGCTAGTCATCACACTTTCTAATGAAAGCGACCACAACCATATACTAAAACTGTCCAGCTTGTTTTTTCGAGTTCCAGCAAATCGAGCTAATTATGCCACACTCTTCGTCAACCCTGACCTATCGGCAGTCGAAAAGAACTTAACATGGCAACTACGCACTGAATGCAAAAAACAAAATGCATCCCTACTTGCATAATCAACAACATTGTTCCTTATACGAGGCAACAAGATCAAAGAAATTACCATAACCAGAGAGCCACTAATCAACCAACGTCTCCAACTGACCACACCAATAAAAAACCTAGCACTCAACTGCAAACCATCTTTCGAATATTTCCAATCAGTTTTCGAAATCGAACCGCTAGGGTCTATACCAACATTCAAAACTCTTTCCACTAGCATAAACTAACCAAACAACTCGAATCATACGAATTCGTCGAAGAACAACTTTTGGACTTGAATAAATCCAAATCAATGGGCTTCGATGGTATTCATCCACGCGTTCTCAAATACTGTGCTGCAGGTTGTGCTATCCAACTGAGCATTATCTTCTCTGAATCGCCTACCCAGTGGGCACAGGACCAAAAAAAGACGTCTTTTGAACGTTCAATAGACGTCCAAAACGTTCAAAAGACGTTCAAAAGACGTCAAAAACGTAAATAAGACGTTTAAAAGACGTTTTTTTTACGTCCGTGTTCACTCGGTAAAGCCGGAGAAGTAAAGTCTCAATGGAAAAAAGCCAAAATTACTCCTATTTTCAAAAAAGGCTTCAAGTTGATCCCCTCAAACTACTAACCTAATTCACGCACTTCTGTCCCTTGCAAGGTAATGGAAAGCTTTTTACACAAACACATTACTGACTACTTAAACAAAAATAAACTCATCAGCTCTGCCCAACACGGGTTCCGAAAACGAAAAGGTTGCGTCACAAACCTACTTAAAACTTGCGACATCCTGACTGAAGCTGCCCGCAAAGGTATTTCGTACGCCCACACCTAGAATTCGTAGTACAGACCACCGTTTTTACCTCAAGACATTGCCAAACTTGAGCAAGTTCAACACCGAGCCACAAAACATATTGCCTCCCTTAAACACCTTTCGTATGCTCAAAGAGTATCTAGCCCTAACCTGACAACACTAGCTGAACGACGAGAAAAAGGAGACCTTACCGAACAATATAAAATCATGACCAAAATTAATAAAGTTAACTTTTACGTCCCTCAACTTCAACCTAACACGGAATCTTCAAAATACAGTTTTCGGCCACGTGGACACACAAAAGAACTAAGAGTACAACTTGTCCGAAACTGCGCTGAAAGAAGCAACTTCTTCACCAACCGTTTTGTACGATTATGAAATTCTTTAACCCAAAATGCGGTGGACGCAAAGAACTTGAACAATTTTAAACACGGACTTTCTCTGCTACGGCATCTTCACTTCAGCTGAAATTGAAAAAAATGTACTTTCATAACAGAGAGGCCTGGAGTGCCGTTCTTTGTCAAAAAAAATTTGTAAAAAAATTTTTTTTTTGATCATGAATGAATAAACCAAACCAAACCAAATTCAAGCATTTTATTACCGTAGCTTTCAGTTATGGCGAATACTGTATCTTATTTACATTCTTGAGTTTGCTGTCTTGATCTTGATTTATGAGAGTGATTGCCACACGTGAAATCCAACATCAACATCCTCAAGCAAGTCCAACATCGAGCAACAAAAACGATAATGAAATTTGAAGAATTATCCTGCTTCAATGTCTTGGTCTGACAAGACTTGAAGAACAACATTAAAAAGTACCCAGACAGCAAGCTTACATTGGTCCAACGTAAGTTTTAACATTGGCAACTTTATTCCGTTGGGCAAACATTTAGCCAATGTTTTTTTTCGGCGTATTATTTTCAGTTCTGCAAATCGGTATTTTTCAAATTTCGTACTATATTGGGCCAACATTTAGCCAATGTTTTTTTTCGGCGTAATATTGCCATTCTACAAATCGCCCAGCCAGCAAAAAATAATTGGCCCAATGTTGGCCCAATGCATTGACTTGCATTGGCACAATGTTGGAATAATGCGTTGGACCAATACCGGAGTGATCATTGGCGCAAGGTACGACCAATCCTCATTGGCCAATGCTAAAAACAACGTTTAGCCAATGTTATAATTATACGTTAAGTATGTTTAAAATATGTTAACCCAATATTCAAAAAACGCAATTTTAGCAATGCTAAAATTATGATTTTATTTTACTTGAATTACATTACAGCCAAAACAAAACTTGATTCAATAAAGAGAAACAAGTCAATAAAGTATTCAATAATGTGATTACCCCGATTTAAATTAAACAAATTGAGAAAATAGTCTGTAGTTAACGTATGCTTAAATATTTCATCAGAATAAACCGTTAAACTATATAATTTTTACTATAAGTTATAACAATTGATTGTCTCGAATAAAATTTTTTTGGAGTGATCGTTTACTTCCTCGTTCTGGATCATTTCTGCCTCCTTCGCGGTCGCAGGACTGCCTAAGCCAAATCTTTACAAGTTGTTCAACACTTGAAGTAGTGACGTCACTCAATAACTTGTTCTTCTTAACAACACCTGAAAAGAAAAGGAAAATTAAATCCTCATTTAACTACTTAGGTAGTAATTACTATTAAGAAAATATTTATCTCTAAATTTATTTTTTTGGTTGGTATCGGGACAGCAAAAAAAATTTATTAGTTATATTTAACAAAAATAATACTTCCACCATAACAACTTAAAAAATTAAGTTTCATTATTTTAGTTTCCACACGTATAGCCGTAGAAACTAAAATTTTAGTTTACATCTGTACAGATTTTTTATGACCAAAGTATTTAAAATTCAATTATAAAAGTCAATTATAGACTTACTGACAATAAGAGAAGTTATTTTCATGTTGCCGATTCCAACTTTTCCAATCCTACCGGCAAAGTTTAATTGCAACGATAACCCTTTTGAGAAAAGTGTTCTTAACAATCTACGCGTTGTATCACCAATATTTCTTCCACCAATTTGAGCAAGATGATTAACCTTGATTAACATATTTAATATAATTAACCCTAATTAACCTTATGTCAACTGAATAATAATTAACTAATCATTTAATAAGTTAATTAGCCTACATTTAAGATAATTGCATGCCGTTGCATGCTACATTTTACTAAATTTGCATGCTATTTCTTTATAACGTTGCATGCTTTTGCATACTCCTATATAACAATTTGCATGTCTTTGTATGCTTTCAATTTAATATATGGCATATGAAGTTATTATTTCATAATAGCTTATGGAATTTTTTTACATCTTATTGAACAATAAGAGAACTGATGCCTATAGAATTTATTTTAACTTGTGTGAAAACGTTCGAAGTATTATTAACAAAACAGTTAATTGTATATATATATATATATATATATATATATATATATATATATATATATATATATATATATATATATATATATATATATATATATACACAGGTATATATATATACACAGGTATATATATATATATATATATATTATATATATATATATATATATATATATATATATATATATATATATATATATATATATATATATATATATAATATATATATATATATATATATATAACTTTTTATTAATCATAGAAACATGATAATGATTTTTGAATTACAAAAAACTAAAAAATACTTCAAAAACTTCAAAAATTAAAAAATACATCAAAACAAATAAAAATGTTTTGCATACCGAGTGGGAACCCTGAAATATGTAAAACCAGCCCTCAGAATAAGGGTCGGCATTCGGCAATGCCGACCTAACTGTGTTTGAGGTCGGTATAACTAAAAGTGTTTGAGGTCGGCATAAAATATTCCGACCTCCTTTCTATGTTTTAAAGTTTGACCTTTGTGTCAAAAATTTTTTGCCGACCTGATGCTGACCTCTAACAGTTTAAGGTCGGCAGTTTATTGGCGAGTTCATTTTTTTTTATTCTAAGGGCTGATAAAATATATAAATATGTATAAAATATAGTAGAACATATATACATTCAAAAAAACCAACATCAAAATTATGGAAATAACATACTAATAACTTGAAAGTGCTATTTTCTTTTAGTTTCTTATCAAAATCTTTTAATGCCTTCAGACAAAGTATCATAACTTTTATGCTGAGTTACAGCATTAAGGATTGAATTCAAAATTTGTGAATGCATGCCCTGCTTTGTCTCTATTGATGCAAGTCTGCTTAGAATCACATGCAGATCTTTTGGAAGTATTCCTAAAGTTTTGAAAAATATTAAAATTTTAAATATTTAAATCTTATGGTTATTATATAAAGCAATTATATAAAACTACTTTTTTGTATAGTTTTTTGCACAAAAAAAAGGCAAAATTTAAATAAAATTAAAATTTCAGCATTTTCATTCAAAAAAGGGATTAATAATATTTATAACAATTTCAAAGATAAGGTGGAATATAATCGATTAAACAACTCATCAAAATGAAACCTTTTTTCATTTTCTTTGTAAAAAATATAATAAAATTTTTATTTCTTAACATGCATTGAAATTTCTATTATTGTTTAGAATTTTGCAAATTCCATTTCAAATAACAAACTAGTAAAAGTAGTATTAACTACAGAACTTTAGCATATTGTATTCTAAAACTTTAGCATATTAGGCAGCAAAAAATAATACCTGAGATTGCATTTGGGGTTGACGGAGATGAATTAGTGATGCTTTTAAATTGGGAATACAAACTAAAATTTGGCTGAGCTTGATCAATCAAATTGTCAGTTTCTGGTGATTTAGCTGTGCAAGAATGTATCGTGAAATCTTCATTTTCTTCATCAGACATATTTAACTCCTGATTTCTTTTTTCTGGGAAAGCGATCTCACAACTTGCTAAAAAAAAGATCAATTAAAAGGTTTATTATGTTAGTTTTAAGGAATGATTATGCAAAACAACTCATTGAAAACTTATCAAAGATATTGCATAAAAACTTTGTATATTATACTAGTATAAATACAACCAATTATAATAATGTTATAAATTGCTACTTTATTATAAATTTATTCCCCATTAAATATTCATAAACAACCGTTAAAACAAATTCACAGGATGACAATGTCACATGTGATGCCAAAGAAAAGTTGTGCTTTGTACATATATAACATGTTTATAATATGTGTTTTTTACAAATATAACAATTTCGAAACTATAAAAAATAAATATTACAATCTTACAAATCATAAGTATTATATTAAAATCATAAACAACCAATAAGCATTTAAACATTGTAATAATAATAAAATAAACATTACATATTATTCACTGAAAAACAAACCATGCATCTTGAAAGCAAATATGATTCATTGCAAAAAAATTTTATTATAAAATTTAATTACCTGATGAATCCATTATTATATTCTCCCCTAAAGAAAAAATTACTATAAATACATTACTGAACATTTCTTAATACAGCAGATATTAATTGTATAAAGGCAATGATAAAACATTTGAGAGCACTTATGGGCCCAGATACAGTAAAAAAAGACGAAATTCAGTAGCTTTCCAGCGTAAAACTTCATGAGCAGAACGACACTTTCTTGAAAATTCAGAAGGAATATTTTGTGATAAGGAATTTAGACTATTAGACAACTGATCCATTGCACGTGTACCAATTCAAACGTGCAAAGGGCCTTTTGGGTCTTTCCAATAAAGAATCAATCGCTTCATGACTCCTAAACAAACCAGATGCATATAGTCTAGACCAAACTGACTAACAAAACCAACATTCAACAGTTTTAGAGGACACTCCCAGAGATGATGTTTTTTGTCAATCATATGAAAAAAAGATAAATCTGTTCGTAGTGGTGCATTGGTTTCAGGATAAATTAATTTGCCATCATATTCACCATTTGTTGTGCATTTTTCACATGAATTATAACCAGAGTGACCTTTTATACCTTTGACAAATGCTCTAGCAGGTGCATCACAGATAAATGAATGAATTTTAACAGAATACCTTTTGTTATTAAACAGAAAACCATTATCTACTAAATGTTTAGTTTCTTCAACAAACTCTTCAAGAAACTCTGCTGCACTTGGTGGTTTTTCTTTTCCGCTATATATTCCTACAACAAATGGTTCTTTCATACTGAAGTTCTTGATAATACAAAGTATTGGCCATACTGAGACACCAGAGCTATTGAAAAGAGGCAACCCATCTATGTTAATTTGCAAGTGGATGTTTGTATTCTCAGGTATAAACAAATCATTAATGCAGTTTTTTAAACCATTCTCAAGTCCAATGTGACAATAATCTCCTCCACTTTTTAGTTTTTTAACTTCAAATATTGTAGGTGTCTTTAATAATGTCCTTGGATGTTGTGGTAAAGTTGGGAAATATGGTTTAAGAATGCATA